GCATAACAAAGTCACTTAGCCCTTGGCTACTCAGAAGCAGAGCAGAAAAACCATGCCAGGGAGGAAGAGGCAGGAAATACATACAGTGTACATCACGGTTTGGATCTGGAATATACCCCAAATGCCTCAGCGTGTATAGGCTGGGCTTTTGGAAGGTGACTGAATCATGGGGGTTATGGCTGATTTGCTGTTAGGAGGTAGGGTCTGGAGGGAAGAGGCAGGTTGCTGGGCATGTTGTGGGGAGAAGGGGTTGACCCTGACAATACATCTCCCTTCCTATCTTTTCATTTTTCTCCCTGCTTCTGGCCACCATGATGCGAGCAGCTTTTTCTCCCCACATCCTTCTTCCAAGCTACTGTGCACTGGGAAAAAATGATCACTGACTGTAACCTTAAGTCAAAATAACCCCTCCTGCTTGTAAGTTGTGGATGTCAGGTATTGTGTTCCAGAGATGAGACAGTGACTGAGACAGTATCTAAATCCCACTCCATGACTTGTCCAGACCCAGCCTGAAATGTGCTTTACTGACCTACTAGGCAGCTCCCAAACCAATCACGTTGACAAGTAAGCTTAACTGTCACTTCTTTTCCTTCTACCTCTCCCCATCATCGCCCACATGTCTGTGTCTGTGACCAAGTGTTCCTTTTATGTAAGGATACCAGGCATACTGGATTAAGAACCACTATGCTGATCCAGCTTTACCTTTGTAGAGATCCTCCAAAGAAAAGCACATTCTTTGGTACAGGAAGACAGAATTCTGACGTATAAAGTTAGAGATCAGAGCATTTTTCAACTCCAAAAAGTAACTCAACCCTGAACTACTTTAATAGATGTTGATTATGTATCAATATGACCAATTAGGATTTTTTTTTTACATTTTGCTACTTTATGTTCTGCTTTCTGTTTTGATGATCTTTAAAAATACTTTATGGTCTGTTTTATTTTTTTCTTTTATTTACAATTTCTATTTAGGTGTTTATCCATATAATTATAATACTATTCATCTATGTTTTCTATCTTTGAGAGTTCCACAGGAGCAGCATTTAAAAATAGCACCATTTCCTCTTCCCTTCCCTCTCGTTCACCACCCAATACTAGTCGATAATATTATCTTTCTTAGAGTTTACTCGTATATTATCAGATAAGCTTGGATATCTATTTGATTTGCTAGCTTCACTGATAAGCTGCCTGACTCTCATTCTTCAGTGAATTTATTCTACTGCCCACTTTCTTTCCCTTTTTCCTTAGTTCGTTGCATCATTTCTACATTGTGGGATTATACGATGCAAACACTTCTGTTACCAACCCTCAACTTCTTCCTTTTTTAATGTAAGTATATTCAAAACTCATAGGCCTTCCCAAAGATCCCTTTGTCAGCCAAAATTAATGATTTGGTAACTCCTACAAAAAGGAGAATGAAGAAAAAACAAGGGGAATCTGCCCACAATTTTTAAATACAGTCTAATGTATCAAAAGTAAATTATGATATGATTAATCTTGATTTAGAGCTAACTTTTGTTGCTGTTGCTGTTTTGCGAGACAGGGTCTCAATATCTAGTTCAGACTAGTCTTGAACTCATTATATAGACCAGGCTGGCCTCAAACTTGCAGTGATCCTCTTGCCACAGCCTCTCAACTTCTGGGATTACAGGCTTGTGTGACCACCCCTGGTGAAAGTTGACATACATTCTTATCACCATAGCTTTAGAAACAATTTGATTAGAAAAGTGAGGTGGTTGATATCACAGATATATGCAAACAATATGGGGAGAGAATCCCCAAATATATATATATATATATATATATATATATATATATCACAATAATTCTGAATACAACCAGTTAAAAGACATGCACTAAAAAATATTTACTAAAGAGAAATAGTCATTTTGTTCATTTGAATGGGTCTGACAAGCTACAGTTGTGGATCCTTTAGTTTCATCCCAAGACTACAGAACCATAATCTTTAGAAATATGATATAGCAACCTGCACTTTTACTCCTCAGGCAACACTATTGCAAATTGCAGGGTGAAACCACTGGCCCAAACGGAAAATCATCTACCAAATGACTTTTAAGCACTATTTTATTTAGTCCCCATGAAAACCTTTGAAGAAGTTATTCAGAGACTTTTACTAATAGGATATCTGCAGCCTAGAGAGGCTAAGAAACTTTCTCAAAACCACAACACCGAGAAGGAGAAGATTTCAGATTTAGAGGCAGAAGAGCAACAGACTCCAGACAAGCAGGTGATGCCTGAGAAGAACACAGGACTGGGGGTGTAGTTCAGTGGAGAGTGCACGTTTTGAGTACTATGGTCCTGGGTTCAATTCCCAACATAAAAGAGAGTGAGAGGAAGAGGGACAGAGAGGAGGGAGAGGGGAAGAGGAAGGGAGGGAAAAAGAGAGCCTCTGCTAGAGAATATAAAGGTCTCAAGTTCATTACCTAATGTCACAGGTTAGAGCTTCAGAGTCAAAGTAGGTGTCTGCTGCAATCGCACAGGACAGATCCCCACATTCAGAAAGGACGGAGCCTGCCTGGCAAGTGCAAGGTCATGAGTTTGATTCCCAGCACACACAGAAAAAACTAACTGAAGGTTTAAAGCCTTCACTGCCATCCTGAAACTCTTCATAGCCATGTCGCAGTGTTTGGGAGGCGACTCATTAGAGTGCACCTCTTGCCTACCCTTGACATGGTCTCAGCAGGCACAAAGACCTTCAAGGTCACTTGTGCACTATAGGTCAGGGCAGTGGGCCTGTGGACAGGGGAGAGGCTGTGTGGACTTCTCTGCCCTCCAGTAGCTGGAGAAAAGAAAAGCCCAGCACCTGTGAGGGCCTGCCTTGCCCTGTGAGTAACTGCATGACAACTATACAGAAAAAAAACAAAACACCTCAACAGGCTGGATGAGATTGGGGAAAGGAGGCAAAAACTTTTTGTGCTGTTTGAACAAGAAGTCATAACACATTTGAACTCTGCACTGGGCCCCACAAACTATGTAGCCCTTCCTGCATATTATATTTAAACATTTTTGAGGGTAGATCTCTACACAGTTGGAGGAAGATAACTCTGCTTTTCCTCAAAAGGTCACTTGGACCTGCAGCCAGGGCCTGGACACTGGATTATCACCCAGATGCCCACAGACTTTTCTGAGCTCTCCAAATCCTGCTCTTTCTATTCCATGCAACCAACCTGTCACGTTGCACATCACCAAGAAGACTGGAGAACTACAAAGAATACAAGGCAAAACAGCTCTCATTTATGCTGCATTTATATTTAAAACATGAGGTTTCTGTTTTAATCGTGTAAAAATTTCCAAAGGAATCACCTTGGAAACTAAGAGACTCTGATCATTAAAATTAGCTAGAAGCAAATAATCTCCAGAGCAGTTATTCTGGCTGCAAACCTTTTTATTACCTTCGTAGGGGAAATTTCCCCAGAAACTGTGATAAATATAAAGTAAGGAAATATAATGTCCACTTTAGGATTTTAAAGGGAGACATAAAACTCAATTTATTAGTCACTTAGAATAATGTGTGCTTAATCCATTCACAAAGAACATAAAAATATATTGTCGTCTCATTAAAAAAAATGAATCTGGTAGAGTACATGCCTCACATACACAAGACCCTGGGTTCAACTCAGGAACACAAAGAAAAAATAAATAAATAAACCACAAACAGAAAAACAGAAAATAAACAACAAACAGAAAACCTCTGAAAATTCCCTATATGTCTGCTTTGTTTTAAGAAGAGAGAAAAATGTTTCACTATAGTAAATAGATACATTAATGAAAATGTGAGGTTTATTCGTAAATAATTTCTTTCTTAAAATACCACAGGATATGTGGCCCTTTGGTTTAGATCCTGGTCATTCCACAAAATGTCAAAAAAAAAAAGAGCTTTTCCTAAAATTCAATTCATTCTTCTTTTCTTCCTTGCAGAGATACACAAAATATAACTTGTGCTTCCTTTTACTTTTCAGGGGGGAAAAATCTATTTTTTGTAAAAGGAAGGACAACCTTAAGGAATTCTGGCAAAAACAGACAATAAAATAGTGTGTTCGGATAACTGAATTAATAGTTGTAATAGTACTAATGGCTAGCATCACAAACATCTAAAAAGAATCTGCTTAGCACTGACAAATCACATCTGAGAAGCCAAAGTGACGCTTCCAGAAAAATAAAAGGGAAAAAGAAACAGTAAATACAGGAACACACAACACTTGTCATAGAATCCTAACTTCCGCTCTCTCCTGTGCAGCAGGAGTAAGGTTAGATCGGCATGAGAGCCGGGGACTCTCCGATTTCGCATGGCCTTGAATCCAGGGTTTCTTACTTCTTGCCCGCTCCTTCTGCTCCTGCGGGAACACCTGCTTGGTGCGAGGTGAGACCAAGCAGGCGGCCCTTCCTCCCACCCCACCTCCCACTCAGGCTGGCTCCCACCATGCTCAGGATCTCTGTTGCTCAACACGGTGAAGCTCTCTTCACTTTTAACTCCCTTGGCCTAAGTTCTTCATTCCACACAGTCAATTCTTTTCTTTTTCAATCAACTTTCCATTTGTCTCCACATTGGCATGATTATCACATTTGTGTATGGACAGCACTATAAGCTAACAGGTCCCTTCTTTTCTACCCCTATGTAAATCGTATTCCTTCATTCTTCATAGTCACCTCCCAAAGCCCTATCTGGGCCTGCTCTGTGCCACCTCACATCATCTGAAACTAAAATGGCACTGGATTAGACTAACCACCATCTAATCATGACTTTCTCACAGCCAACTTTCTAAAATCAGTTCACGAGTAAACCGGCAGGCCTGAAGTACACCCATCTTCACTCAGCATCCACTGCTTAAGTGTAAGCACAATACTTGCATTTTCAACTCACTTTCTGGCATGAGGAGGGGCAAAAACTGGTTCTCCAAACTCAGGATAAAAGAACTAAATGACTGCGAGTTGGGCTGTGTGATGTAGACAGTTCCTACCCCAGGAAAAGACTGTCTTACCTTTGTAATGGCAGTGAAGACCTTTTCCAGAATGGCATTTGGCTGGGCAATTTGTGGCCCACTGGCCTGAATGTTGAGGGCTATAGCACATGGTTTGGCTATAAATCTAGAGAGAAAGAGAGAGAGAGAGAAAGAGAGATTATTTTTTCTATATCTGTTCTTAATACCGCCAGTTACACATTACTCAATTAGTCCAATAAAACGCTGGCAGGATTTTATGGTTGTACAATGTCAGCAGTCATATGATGGTCACTAGAAAGCAGCCTTAATTGTTTTTCTCCTCTAGTTCCCCAGCAATTACATTAAAAAAATAAATCCTTTAAAATATTTAAATCCCTTAATCATCAGATTGTAATGAAACTCAATAGATGAAAAACTTACCAGAAAAAAGCTTAACTGTATAAATGAGATACGTAAGTTAAATAATGATTTTTAAATGGTATACTCTTCTTTCTAATGCACTATCAGCAGTCATATTGGTTTTTTATTATATAAGTATTCATAAGGGTTACACATGCAAAGAGAATACTTTTGATCACCCTAGTCATAAACCTGGCCGTTATGCACCTATGATGGAAAAGTGTTGTACTGAGTCCTTGTGGCTTCTTAAAGTTCTCTGCTCCATGGCCATTTGATTCTTTCTCAAAAGGAATAATGACAGATGTCAAATGGCATGGGGACCCAGACAAGTTGAAAGTGTCAAGTGTTGGCAAGTATCAGCAGAACGGTTTTTATTGTAAGCAACTGCCTATATCAAGAAGCATGGGAAGGTTGAGGCTCCTTTCCAACTGTGTTTAATGTGTGAATGAGGCACAGAGAACAGGCAAAGTGTGTGCGCCCGAGATAGATGGCAACATCTCTAACAACTCTAAAAAGGAAAACGCTTTCATCGCTTCAAGGGTGGTTTTAGACTAAATGTTCACAAAATAAGCTTTGGTAAATAATTCATTTTCAGTAGTGGCACTGAATATCTTCTATTAATTCAAAGTAATTAAATACCATATAAAAGTATTAGCCAAGATTAAGTCAATATTGCCGAAGACAACAATTGATAAATGTACAAAACAGATCATGAGTATATCTTAGATGAAGCTTTCCTAATATAAGCTAATGAGATCAATGAACAATCAGACAAAGAAAGATTCTTTTAAATGGGTCTAATAAAGTTAACATAGGGCCACATAATATCCTACTGGGTTCTGTTTCAAGTAAAAGTGAAGGAATTTCTTCAAAAAAGAAAACAAGAACACTACATGAGCAAGCCTGAATCAGAAAATAAAATAGAATACCTGTATTGTGATATCTAACACAAAGTTGGCAGGAAAGAATAATCACCTTTCTCGAGTTTCTGTATACGTTTTGGAAACTAGGATATTCCAAAAACGCCTCCATTCTCGATTTGTTTTAATGTCAAAAAAAAACTTTGAGACATATTACCTATGTCTCCCCTTTTCCTAACAGTTTTGGGCCTTCACAATGTACATTAAACATGGCGTAAAGGCTATAGCTATAGTGGCCAATGACATGGAATTTAATGGGTGATGTCTAAAGCAGAGTTAGAATTCAATCCCTTCATGAAATCTCCTGCTTTCTGTTTATTTGACTCCTCATAATAAGGTATAACATGGGTGTAAAAAGACATGAGCTACAGCAAAAGAGTAAAACTAAGATAAATTAATTAATTTAATTTACGCAAATTAATTTGGCGTAATGGTCAAAATCAACTCTTTCAATGTTTGTTTTTTTGTTTTGTTTTGTTTTGATTTTCTTCTCTTCCCGGTTGATTTTTCCCTAGCCTTCTTTATTCCCTCCATCCTGCTAATCTAGAATGCGGTCTTCTTTCTAAATAATGAAGACTCTAAATCCAGAGTCTGAACATTTCCCCTTGGAAAACCCAAGCAAAGAATGACACATTTCTTTCCCAGGAAGGTCACTATAATCAGCACCTCATTCACATTTACTGGCCAGACTGAGACTGAAATTATGAGGATTTGAGGGGGAAATGTGTGATGAGATGAATGACTGGTGAGTTTAAGGGAATTTGACTCAATCTAATTTGAATTCTTTGCTAAAAGTCAGTGTGTATTCACATGTATGGAACACTGTGGGTGTTCAAGGAATACTTGATGGAGGAATAACTTAACAAATCAACTAAAATACAATGATAAATTGTTTACTATCTCCTCCAAGTGGAGCTGTGTGTTTTAACTCCACAGAATATTACATCTGCTGTGGCGAGTTGACAGCTGGTGGTAAATTTAACAACCAGTTGAACAAAAAGGAGAACTGGTGAGAAGAGGTGGTGGGGTTGGCTCACTGAATATCTTCTATTAATCCTGCTATCATTGGTTCTCCTGGAGGAGCTTGTTGAGCTTTTTGTCTAATATGAACTTTGCTGTTTTCATTGTCAGAGGAGCTCAGGACTTTGCTGTCACAGAATGACCGCAGTTCACCTGGAGGAGCTCAGGTCTTTACCGCTTGCTAGCTCCAGAGGGGAAGGAGTGTGCTGTTCAGTCTCCAGGAGAAGCTTGTCATGCTGGCTTCCTGACATGAACTCAGATGTTCTCACTGTCACAGGACCTTGCAACCTCATTGTCCCTGAGGATGACTATGGTACTTTTCGAGGGAACCCTGTTCCTTGCTTGGAATGGCACTTCCGGGCTCCAGGGAAGAAACCCTCGGCCTGCTGGCACAGATCCTTCATCTCGCTGGCACAGACATTCTGGCTTCCATCACTGACCTCTGGAGCTCCCTAACGGAGATCCATGAAACAGACTTGCATGAGACATTGCCACAGGCTGTAGGTCTTCAACTGGACTCATGCAGGATGCTGCTGTGGCTCCATGCCCTCGGCTGGATTTTGGGGGGTCTTTAGTATATAGGCAGATTTCCAACATTTTTCTTCTTTGACTCTTTGGGTGACTATTCTAAAGTAATTTTGTAAATTATGTGTCCCATATTAAATTATTTTCCTTCCAAACCATGAGTGCAACATCCACTCAGAGTAAGAGATTGATCATTCTAATACCCAAAGCCATTTCTATAATTCCCATGTCCTTATGATGTCTGCACTCTTCTCAAAAAGCAGACTCTGCCAGCACCCCACTAACAGAATACAGAACCAAATACTCAACTTCTAAGATTTAGAAAATTGCATATGATAGGCAGAAAAAGTTAATACCAAATCCTCAATAACAGAAGGAAAGAAATGTACTATCTCTTCCTTGGTTACATAAAAATACAGAAATTTTATTCGTACTTGTTCCCAAAAGAGTTTGTGAATAATCACTACTGGGGTGTTTTGGGGGTTTTTTGTTTTTTGTTTTTTCCAGAGAACATATTAGATTTCAAATAAAACCCATTTTACAACTAGTCAATTTCATCACCTTCTGTCATAGTACATTACAAAAAAGTTGAATTTTAAAAAAAATACTGGCTCTAACAAAACAAATTCACAAAAGTTGTCTTTCACTGTGGTTGGAGAGATATGGGTAGAGATGGAGAGAAACAGCTAGATGAGTGATGGGCTAGAACACCTAGAGAAATACAAAAGTTGAAAGGAGCATTTTCTTTTCAGCTTTGATGGTTAACCTGTACCAGGAACTGCTCACCTAATTACTTTTTTATCAAAGGCAGCAATACCACCTTCGAAAGATCAAACACCTATAAAGTACTTTCATGTACTATATTTGAAAGTAAATATAATAAGGATGTAAGCTTTGAAAAATCCTGGTCTTGGTTAAAAAGCAGAGAAAATATTTCAGACATTCCTACATCTCAACTCTACTGAACAACATGTATTTGTACTTTAAAGATCACGAAACATCTCTGGCACAACATATGAAAGTAAGCACTGGAAAGCGCTTTGGTGGGACTAATACACAAAACATGTAGTCATCTTTGCAATGAAGAAGTTTATAATCTTGGGTCAAGGATTTAGTCCAGTGGTGCAGTACCCGCCTGGCAAGCATGAGATACTAAATTTTGAGATACTAAATTCCCAGTACCAAAAAAAAAGAAAGGAGAAGAAGAAGAAAAAGAAGTTATAATATAGAAAAAGAGATTATTTTTAAAGACACTTACAGGCTATAGGTCTTTACTCTAAATAACTGAAAATATTTAATAATCTTAGCCAGGCATGAAGATACATTCCAGGAATTCTGGCACTCAGGTTCTGAGGCTGGGCTGAAAAATCACAAGTTCAAGCCCAGCCTGGGCAATTTAGCATCTAAGGAGACCTTATTACCAAATTTAAAACAAAAAAGTGATAGGCATTTAGCTCCGTGTGAAGGCCCTAGTACTGGAAAAATCTTCAGTAGATAGCATGGTCAGAAGTTGTTGGTTCTTTCTAACTTCAGCATTTCCTACACTTTTCAAAAACAATTCTAAGACTGTGATGCTGGATATAAATGCCTCCATATGATAAAACTGTACATAACTGAGTCTCTTTCTCACTGTTTCTGTCTGTCTGTCTGTCTCTCTCTCTCTCTCTCACACACACACACACACACACACACACACACACACACTCACACACACACGAATGCAAGTAATGCTGGAGTGGAGTATGCTCAGTAAGTCATACCAATGTCAGTATCCTGGCTGTTATACTACAGTTTTGCACAAAGGGGTAACTGAATAAAGTGTATTTGAGATTTCACTGTATTAATTTACATCTATGTGAATCTACTCATATCTCAATAAAGATCTCAATAAAAATAACTGGAAGGGGGATTGTGTTTATGGTATTGGGAATGAGCTCTTCATAGACTTTTTACCTGTAACTCTGCATAACCTGTGCAACGTAACACCCTCCTCCTTTAATGCCCCAAAACAAAAACAAAACACATTATCTTGAACTCTGGAGACTGAAAAGAACCTCAGGGACTTTGGAAAGAAGTCAAGAGTTAGAACAAGCAATCAGCAAAAAATGAACACTCTGCCTGCTCATTTATGTATGTGTTTTGCAGCTCTATTCTGAGCTCAGTCAGTCACAGCGGCAGGTGTAACTGACAGAAAAACATTCTTTCTAGTTGCAAGGACCAGGGTAATGAACCTAGGGAAATTGGAGAGGCACTAGACAGTCACAGCGAGAAAAAGCCACAG